CAGACTTCACTGGTTGTGGCTCGTGCGACGCATCCCTAACAGTCTTCTGCCGCACCACACCTTATTTGTATTTGCCGCTTTAGGTTAGGGAAAACCACATGGACATCAGAGAATGAGGTTAAGACGAGTTTTGTCGAAGTGAAGTAAGAGACTGCGTGGAGTTACTGTCTGCGGTCCTCCACGATCATCCGGTCCGGAGGACTGTACAACTAGTTGGTTGAAGATTTTGATGAAACTGGTATTGAACTAAAAGCCGTGACGCTATTCTTGTTATTATTTGTTTATCAGATCGGAGTGTTAGAGGTTTTGTGTTTCCTCAGTTGGACTGTGGTTCACTTTATTCCCCCCGTCCTCCCCCCTCACAACGAATCCGCTTCCTGTCATCCATCTTTCGCATTCGTAGACATGTGAGCTTAGCCGCCACGAGTGAATTTCGCGGAAATTCTCATGAACCGATTAACTGCTTGTTAAGAACTCCGTGCTTAACAGTGGCATCTGACTAGCGTTTACCAATTGATATTTTGTCCCATATCCTAGTTTGGCGAACAGCCCTGGGGTTAAGCAGAGCTGAATGCTACCAGGCGCGTCCCGGGGTAGTGGATGGGGGATACCTTCACTGAAGAAGATTAGCTGTGAATAAAATAGGCAGTTGCGAACGTACAGCGGCGGCACTACCAGGATGTGGTGGATTTCACGCTGGTCACCTGGCTCCTGTTTTAAAGCCACATAAGCCCAATGACGGTGTCATGACAAAGGTCGATGTGACTGACCTTTTAGAATCTAAATCCACTGACCCCCTCAAATCCGAGGCGATGGATTACTTCCTGCTGCCTTGCAGTTCGCACTTGGTTGTGCCAAGGCTAGAGGTGCGCCCTCAAATTAAAAAACGCCGACTGACGCTGGGGACCTCTCTCGTACCAAACTCCCAACGAACTTCATGATCATAATCATATATGGAACCGGCTTATCCTTTCCAATGAGCCAGCGGCAGTAAAGTAAAGCAACAGCAAAGTGGATCTTAGTTCAAGTGGCACGAAATTATTTTTTTTCTCACGAGAACTGACAAGATCTGGAAGGGAGAATTGAATCGGTGCGCTGCCCGTGAGACCAACAGGATAGGCGTTTCTATCCATCGTCTGCGAATTCTCCTATCTTCCTCCTCCTCTTGCCCCCATCACCGTTGTTCTCTTTTCTGAAATGTGATGCATATTCGCAGCCGGTGCAAACTGGCCGCATCTGAATGGGTGTTTTTATTCTTATCCTGCTTTTCTATTGCCCTACTTTTCAGTCTGGAAAATTGTATCAAAAAGACCATGCATCAAGCATTCTGGGACATTCTGCGTTCCAGTTTAGAATCAGACCCACCAGATTTCGCTCCAGCACTACGTCTGTTGGCAGAAGTCAAGCAGGTGAGTGATATTCCGGTTTGGATTTCTTCCTGGTGTCACGTTTTGGTGAACCACATCGCCCAATCGATTGCACAAGCATGCAATAAAAGGGTTCATTTTATCCAATCCAATCACATTGGACCTCTCCATCACTGCCTTGTTTTCCATTCACGGAGTAACAGAACCCTTCGGTCGAGTGTGAATCCCTTGTGTCAAAATTCCTACCGGCCCAAATACCTCGCCGTTCACGACCTGTTTCGTTTAAGTTGTGTCCATCAAATTGATTCAGGGAACTTCAATTTTAGACCAAAGCGATTGGCTTTGCAATACACTGCAAGTGACCTATTCCGTCCGCGTTCTGCCTAGTTCTGATTACGTTTTGACTCGAGAAAATATTTCTATCCACTTTTTTTCGTGGTTGCTATCATCTATACTGAGTCACTCATAAGCACAGCTGTATGCACACGGCCATCAACACCAACGATCCTGTCTCCGCTTGATGGATTTATATGCACCTATTCTTTGTCGCACAGTTACATTTACATTTTTTTATCTGGAGGGCTGTCGAATATATAAGTCCGTCTATCTCACTCCCAACGCCTCGGGATCCAGTCTTGTATCTACCATTACATATCAGAACGCATAACTGATTAGGTTAACAGTACAGAGTTACTCCGGTCCAAAGCCGGATAAGTGGACAATCAACGTTTAACTTTTCATTGCGCATTGCTTGTTAACTAAATTGTCCCATTGGTATCACGCTGTAAGCACCCGTTGACTGATTTTATGACCACGCACCTGTGTGTATGCGGCCAATGAAGTAATTCCATTTATTGGTCGACAAAATCACCGGCATGTTGATGCTATTGAGTTGGAAACTGAACTCTAGATGATCCGCTGGTGCTGCTACCCCACATTATCGGTCACTTTGGGCGGAGACATAAGGTGCTTGTCTATCTGTTCCAGAAGTTGAACCAGTCACAGCACGTTCCTTTTTTCCAGACAGGTGTTACAACTGTTGTTTATAATATGAATTGCCATTTCCTGTCGTGTTTGCCAGCCTATCACCAAATCTTGTTCCAAGAGACGTTGCTCAGCGATTTCCGATCAAAAGAAAGCTGCAAAACAATGGGAACCTTTGTTGGAAGAGTCAGAAAACTGCTTTATATAATGGGGAAGCGTGCTGTATTTGTGAGATTACGCACAACCTTGATTTTTCCTAAATATATACTTCCGATGTATCGAACNATCAGATTGCAATATTCTGTCCGTTATCTTGGATTCCCTTAGTGATATCGAGAAAACAACGGTGATTTCCTGTTGCAGCGATCGGTCCAAATCCATTTACCATTGGTTCGACGAAAATTTTGAGGAGAAACAGTGTTTATACTTGACATTTAGAAAACTCTGCTTCTTTTTGGGTGTCACAAAGTGTGTTCACTAGTTGTAGTTTGATTGGTCAAAATTAGCGCGATAACCCATGTCATGTCTCACGAAATCAAGCTCTAAGAGTCCACTTTCAACTGTTCAACTGCCGACCTCCTGAAATCAGCACTAAGTTATGTTCAAGGACGTACACCTGCGTCGCACAACCAGGGAAAACGGGCTCATATATATATATATAATTCTGAGAAATGTGCGCGGTAATCGATATGGGAACATTCCAGGGTAGATGATCAATAAGTTTGGGGAGATTGACTGCTATTGATTGTTAATTTTTTAAACTCGGTGCAATTGAGGCAGTTAATTGTTTTATACCGAAACACACGCTTACTGGAATTAGGGTTGGCCAAATGTGCATGCTTTTAGCTTCGTATGTCCGCCTCTGTTTTCGAGACAGAATCCAAACTGATGGTGATTAACCACATAGAATGTGTTCAAATGACGTGAAGAGGATTGTGTCAGAATGTCAATGAAGACCAGACGTACTGTACTGATTCACACGTCAATTGAGCAAGATCCGCTGAATGGGCATCTGTTTCATTTTTCTTTGGACAGTCCAGCAATTCGAACACATAGAAGCATTCTCTGAGTCACGTATTCTTGCCAGTCACAAGTCTCTCATACTGGATTAGTTAGTTACCACTTGGCTAGACTGTACAGTTCTCAATGGTAATCTTTTCTGTTCACATCGCACTTTTCTTGCTAGGAACGTAAGGCGGCTGACCAATCGCGAGCGACGGACCCCGAGGCCTAGATCTGAATGATTTTCCACTTCATTACTTCAGTCCTGTCCCGACCTTCAGAAATAAAGATTTCCCTCATACTCCACGTGCTCTGAGTGCCTCACTCGCCCACTTGCCGTCGAAATTATCGGCTAACCTCACCACTGTATGCGAATACCTTTTATGGCCTCTGTCTGATGACGCGCATTCTCATTGCCAGCATATACTATAAATGTTACTGTCTAGTTTTCATTCCGCCATGGATGTCTTGTTTCCCCTCCTACCATCCCCAGTCATTGAACGGTCTGGTTCTGCCGAATCAGAAGACCCTTCAAAAGTTAATTGACAATTCTTTGGATTTGGACGTTGCCCGTGTACAGCTGGAAGAAACAGGTCAGGTCTGTTTAGAAGCATATGCGGAACAGGTGATTAATTTGATGAAACAGTTCTGCGCTCCCGTTCGTGACAAAGAAGTGGATGCTCTACGCTCTATCGACAATCCGGTTGATGCGTTCCAGTGAGTCAATATTGGCTATCCAGTGCGACATTCCAACACTCCATTCTCCTCTTTTATTCAAATGAGCGGCCAGAAAGACAGCAACCAAAACGGGCGCACGAAATATCGGGGTTCGTGTTTGTACAAGCTGAAACATAACCGAAGTTCTGCGAGAGCTAGTATTTCAGTCTCAAATTTGGATATTCATTTACCAGAAATCTACTTCGGTTTTCGCATTCGTAATTCGATTTCGATTTATGCAGTGTAATTCTGCTGACTTATCGATCCATTCTCTCCAGATAATTTAGAAACTCTAATAGGCTTCTTGTTTTGTTCACTTACTTAGTTGGTTTGAGGTGAAACGGACTGAAGGTAGCAAATCTCCCCAATCACTTTCTATCTTTTCGTGTGCTTCGGGTTTGTTCGTGCACGCACGCACTAATCTAAACTAAATAACCATGGCATGGCACCAAAGCTGGACGCGGTCGTCATGCCATAAACTAGTCTACTCAGGTGACCGTGTTTTTCAGACAGCTCTCAAGAATGTTAAAAATGCCCACACCTACGTAAAATGTTTGCAAATTGTAATCAGCAAATGACATCATCTCTTCCCCCCCACTAGGCCTCAGTACCTCTTATTTTTAGTTGTTCGTGTGTTCATTTGTATCTCATGTGGGATATTGTTGATCAGATTGCCTGATCAGGTGAGGTTTTCTGTCTCATAAATCATGCTGGTTGGTAAGTGTTTTTGTGTTTGCCGTTTAAGACAAAACAACATATTAAAGTCCTCTAGGATGTGCGTAAGTCGAGAGCGCTTTGATTGATCACTTTCCCTTTCCTGCAAGTTGCATTATTGTACATTCAATATAAGGAAGCAAAAACAAAATGAAATGCCTCACGAAAATCGAGCCGTTTCAATTCGAAAAATACTTGGTATATTTCTTTATATCCTGCAAACGAAAACTCTAAACTTCCTTTCTAATTTTTGACGTTTTTTCACGTCACCCAGTATCTACTTGGTCATTGATTAGTCTTTACCCCAAATTGATTCCTTCAGATAGGATAATATCGCTATCCTCGTATATCTTCATTTGTTCTCCAATATCGCTGTCGGACAATCTCGTTTGGGACCAGAGGCTGCTTGAATCTGCTACGCGTTGCTCAAACTTAGCTATATACTTCTATTTCAAACTCGTGTTGGTTTGCATTGTTTTTCAGACAGGCATTTGCTCTGCTGGAAAAAATGCACATGGATTTGGCCAATTTTACCATTGCTCAAATGCGGCCGTATATTCGACAACAAGCGGCCACATACGAGCGGACCAAGTTCACCGCATTTCTCGAGGCTCAGCAAGGTTGGTGTATTTTAATTACTATCCGGTCTAACTTTTATCAGATCAAGTATGCATCTGATAGGATGAATTTTCCTCATTTTCGACAAGTTACAGTTAGGAAAACGTGAATCATTGGAAGAGGAAGAATATATATTTACCAAACGAAAGACAAATGGATGTGATGAAATCTTAATGTGAGAGATGATTATTCAAGTCAGTAATGATATTTGCTCGGTTGACCAAGACACGAGCAAAATAAGGGATGATGCCGTTCTTATATGTGGTGGTGCTTGCACAAAGAATCCGAAATTTGGAACGCGTACTCGGATGAGACACCGATTTATTAAGATGGGCATTCAGGCAGTGTTCTTCTTCTTCTGACGGGTTTGATAATGTGTGCCTGTTTTAAGGCTTAAAGATAAATCTAAATGTTTATCTACCTTAAGCATTAGAGACCCGGGAGGCGACCAACTAAAAATACTATTTGGACAAACTTGATGACGAGAGAAACAGTCAGGATCAGTCGAGGGACAACCGACCAATACGTCATCAGCATACTTACATGCGATGAAGTTGGAAGGGATAGGAAAGTCCCTAATGCACACTGAAAAAAAGCAATTGAGATAAAACAGCACCCTGAAAACCCCAGAGTTACTTTCTAGCAAGGAAGAAGATTTACCGTTAGAAAACGTGTATTGCCTCTTATGACTGAATTAATTAATTACTGCATTCAACAAATCATGTGCCAGTCCACAATCCGAAAGACATTGAATGAGAATGCTGTCGACTGCACACCTGTTTGTTTTGCATGCAAGATTTATTTTTCTTTCCCGCTTTCAAATCGAATTAAGAAGTGCTTTATTTCCCCTTACTGCTTGGGAGGAGGAGGGTGGATTTAAACCATGTCCACGAAAGTTCGTGGAAAAATCGATAACTATGTGGATACAGGTTTAGCTCCAAAATCACCGACTGTCTAGGTTGACCTTGCGGCGTTGTAACATGGACACTACTAAGCGGTCGCACGAGTGCACGATAACTGACGTAAACGGACGCACTTTTTGCAAGGTCGGAGTGAAAAGGATAGGTATTAGCCAGAATGGCTGCTTACCGTAGGTTGACTTAATTCGACACGCGACAGTTCGCTAGTTTGTAATATAATGTTTATTAATATGCGCAGGATAGTGCGGTTTTTACCGGCGATCAGAACAGCGATTGGTAGTTTAGTATATAAATGGATGACAAAAATTTGATTCAGTTGAAAGAGGCCATTTTGATAACAAACATCTTGGTCGTTTTACGCTTCCCGTTATTTTTTGCCCGTCTAGCGGTCGGTGTTGACGGGCTGGTTCACACGCGTAACTGGATTCGCGAGGCTTACGAACAACTGGCTCCGTCATCAGACGAGCACAGCACCGAATTCACAACAGGTACCATCGCATCGGCGCCCAGTGCACCTCTCTCCTCCACTTTGCCTCAATCAGCCTCATGCGGTGCGGATGATTTGATTGGAGCTTCCGATCCGTCCCTAATCCCTCCCACACCGAACAATATACTGCGCGAGGCCTATTTGCTGTTGCTAACACGTACGACTGCGAACAACTGGCCCGAGGTATGTCTATGCGCGCATTTTGTTTGTTTGTCACAAACACCAAACTGTACGTTATTTGGAAACCAGGGCATTTGTTTGTGTCCTGTGGCGCTGGTAGGTGTTATTTCTTTCCGAATCGTGCTTCTGGCCTGATAGAAGTAGAAAGGATTCGATTGAATAGGTAGGTAATCGAAGGCAAAAAAACGCATT